CTCTTGCCGTCTCTTGTCTTGTGGGCTCAGGAAAGGGCTCCTCTAGATCCTCACATCTGATCCGTTCCTACTGCAGGCAGCTGCTTCATTTTCATTCCTTTCTTGTGGCCTACTGTTCCCACAGGGATTCCTGGTAAAAGTGCCCCTGCGTGTGGTTTGGAGGAGATGCAGCACACCATGATGTCCCTCAGTAGCTGCACAGTCCCCCTTGTCCTACTCAAGGGCAGAGTGGCCCGTAGCGAGTGGTGGTTGCATCTAATCAGAGTGTGAGTATATTTGCTGTAGTCAAAACACAACCAGAAACCAGTGCAGGAATCCTAGTCAGGAGGTACACTGCTGGGCAGAGTGCTAATTCTAGGTTGATGCTTGCAGTACTTCAGAGCAGTATAATGTAGTAAAGTTCCTTCTCTTTCTTGCTTCTCCTCCCTTTTCATACGCTCCTTTTTCAAAAAACAGCAATCCCTGAACTCACAATTGCGTTACTAGTTTCTGTTCATTCTGCATTAGGATTTTAAATCCCACTGTTCTTGAACCACCCAAGGCAGACTGGGAGGTTCCCAACTCCCATCTGTCCTACATGAAAGTTGAGTTTCTACCTGGAAACTTGGACTTGGAATTTCTTCTTTATGAGAAATACTGTACACAAACACCAACCTGAAACCAGAACCGGAAGTAGATTTTGTCATAAATTGGGAGAAAGTTCCCAAAAGCTGCCTTTGGTACTTGTGGTTTTGGAAGCTGATTGGCCTACTCTTTTTTTTTTTTTTTTCCTCACCTGGCAGGCTTCTGCTCTCTGACTTCATTTGAGTCCAGGATGAATGGGTTGTGCAGAGAGATGTCCATAACTATTACTGATGTTGGAGCACCTAGCTTTCAGGGCTGTTTTAATTGCATCATTGACTTAATATCAAAGGTAGTCATCTTCAATGTATTTCTTGCTGTGAACCATAACATCAGCTGGTTTGGGATGCCACAGTTTGTTTTGTTTTTACTTTATTTCTCGAGCAGAAATGCAGTTTTTAGTAAGACTTTATAGTCTTTTAGAGTAATAAACTCTTATTTCCTCTTCTCCTCCTCTAGCTTCTTTACAGCAGATAAAAGGGATAGATATCAAGGGCTACATCAATACTAGATAAATGCTGAATTTAACAGCACTAGGGCTCATTTTCTTGTCCCTGAGAATAGCTCAGTTTGCATGGTGAAATCTTCTCTTCTGCCCTTCCTCAGGAGTCTTGCCTCATTCGTGTTGCCTGTTGGGAACAGCCTGTGGCCTGGGTTATTTGCTGAGCCATGCACAGCCATTGGCTCACAGAGGGTTAGGCGAAGTGGGCTATAGCTGTGCCAGGAGACGGGTTTACAACAAAACAGCATGGACAAGGGCCGGTGTCCTGGCTCTGTTTATGTCATAGCTACAGGAAAAAAAAGTCCTAAAATCTTAAGTTCCTCAGGGTAAACGATGTGATGTAGAAGAGAAGACAGTGCTGAGGCAGAAGGAACACAGGCACAGGATGTGATGTTGGTAGTAATATTTGCCGCAGGCTACTGCAGTGAGGTTGCTCAAGGTGATTTTTGTTTGTTTTGGTTTTGCTTGTTTTTATGTTTTTAAGTCTTGTGCTATAGAACAAGACCAGGAGCTGAAAAGGTGCATTAGTGGCTTAACTCTGGCATAACTCTTCTACTGCAGAATGCATGCTGAGCCCCTTAGATAAGGGCTTTCCATAGGGTATTTCTAAATACAATATATTTCTGATAAGATTTTAGCTTAGTAAATTTGGTTTGGCTTTCACTTGATTTTTTTTTTTTTTCATTATTTAGAAAATTTTCCACTTTTACTGCAAATTTCCTTCTGGATCTGTAATTTAATGCCGCTAGGTTTAGAGCTCAAATGTCACGTTATTGTGGGCTATGAAAAGTAAAGTCCTTTCTCATGAGCAGCAAAGGAAACAAGGTGTACTAAGCCAGTGCTGTAAAAAAAGAAAAATGAAATCCTTAGAAGATTTCAGGATTTTGGTGGCTGGAAGGTGCTACATCTTCTGTATCAGTTTCAGCTTAGTGAACATTCAGCATGTGTCTCTATCTTTTTCCCATGAATACCAGACGAAAAAGGAAGCGTAGGTCTTCCCACCCTACAACCAAATGTTGATTTTTCAGAGCTGGCTTGTTGTACTCCTGTGTTTTGTTTTTTTTCAGGAGCAAAATGGTGCTTCTTCAAAAGCTGTGAGCAGCAGCAAAGGCACAAGAGTTATTCATCTGCAGACCTGGGGGTATAGCACTGCTTTCTCTTACAGCAAACAGTTTTCTCTGTCACTTTTGAAGTTATGAATAAAATTTTTAAAATAAAGAATTATACTCTTGTTTCAGCACTTGGGAGTTGAAAAGGTAGTTTCATGCTGACATAAAGAGTGGAAAATACGTTACTAATGACACACAGGAAACAACTTCTGGCGATGTGGGGTCGTCTGTAAGCTATGTCTTGTGGCCCTCTTTGCAAGAGAGAGTTTGACGCACACATTCCATTTAAACTGTGCATAATTTTTAAAATAAGCTGTGAACTTGTCACCCAGCTGCAAAATCAATTTAAAGCTCCAATACAGCAAGCTTTGGGTGGACTCATTTATTCTATCTTTTAATTTTTAAGGCTGAAAAAAACTTCTTGGAATAATGTATTAGTCTAGTCCATTTTTTAGAAAGTGAGGTAACATTTTTTCTAAACGCATGCAATGTTCTTAAATTATCTTGTGTTTCACTTTAAACAAGAACCATGTTCAAACAAGACGAATATTTCTTCTTCTTCTAACAATAGCAGTATCCATCCTGGAGATGCACGTGCCTTTCGTGCAGGTACTTATTCACATTTGTAGTTCAGTTTTGGTAATTGCTAAGATGAGTTGGATTTTTAGATGCTATTTTACCTGTGTGATGGCAGTGGATAGAACATTCATTGTATCTTGGATGGGCGGCTGTTTATAAAACTCTTATGTCTACTAATGGAATACTGATACATGGTAAATGCTTTGTGCAGGTATGGAAGAATGTATTAACGTTGTGCAGATGATAATTCAGCTTTGAAATACCAATTGAAGAGAGGATATAAAAGCACCTTCCAGCCACAAAGCACTGTGAAATTCAGTTTTAAAATGGATCCCGTAGATTAAAGTGTCATTTGAAAAATCTTGTTTTGCATGATGTTGTTTAGAAACTTTCAACAGAAATGCGCTTTCTGTGGTTCACCCTGTTCATGGTTAATATGCTGGGAACCTAAATAAGATCTATGGTACTTCCCATGTCTGAGGCAGTGCTGTGTACTAGGAGGCTGGAGGTTGTTGCTGCTCTGGGATATAGATGAGGGCGTCAACTGTGTATAAGTTGGAAAGTGGAGGGGAGGATTTTTTTTTTTTTGCTAGCAGCAGAGATTATTCAAGGCTTTCACCTGCCCCTGATATCTGCTAAATTTTGGATTGGGATCTCATCAAGTTTGCAGAAGACGCTGAGTTGGGGAGCCCGGTTGTCATGCTCAAAGGCAAGGCTGCCATTCAGAGGGAACTACACAGAAACCTTATGAAATTCAGCAAGGACAATTGCCAGGCCCTGCCCCCAAGGAAGGAGGAACGAACCCCTGGCAGCAATGCAGGTTGGGGGCTGGAGCACTTGCCCTGTGAGGAGATGCTGAGGGAGCTGGGCTTGTTCAGCTTGGAGAAGAGGTGGCTTCAGGTGGTCCTTCCAGTACTGACAAGGAGGTTATCAAGAAGAGCTGGGCTTTTCACAGTGGTGCATGGTGGGGAGGACAAGAGAGAGCAGGCACGAAGTGAAATGAGAGATTCAGGCTGAGTATGAGAGAAAAGTTTTTCACCTTAAGGGCAATCAAGCAGTGGAGAAGGTTGCCCCATGAGGTTGTCATCTCTGTCGTCGGAGGTTTTCAAGACCCGACTGGACACAGCCCTGAGCAGCCTGGTCTGACCTCAGAGCTGGCCCTGCTCTGAGCAGGAGGTAGAGGAGAGACCTCCCCAGGCCCTCGCAACCTGAATGATTCTGTGGTCCTGACTTGGGACTCAGCTTGGAGACAAAAGTTCACTGTTTTCCTTCGTCATGTATTTTGTAGAAGGCTATGTGCAAATGGCCTAGCCTCTTCACTGCTACAGTTCCCTGTCTATAATGTGGAGGTAGTGCTTCTTGACTGTCTCAGTGGTGTTTCAAGATAAGACAAGAAAGGCTGTTATATGTTAGATGCTTTGGCAAAGCGGGTACGGACAATGAAGAGGTAGACCTTTAAAGTCTGCCTAGGAGGCTGTTAGAGAGGTATTGTGCATGTTCCCTTGTACTGACTGTGAAGTCTTGGGAAGCTGTTTTCCGTGGGTTTACTTGCATGAAACTTCACTCCACCATATACTTTTCTCTTTGTGCTGCCAAAAAGGCAACCACCATAAAAGGTTGTCAGTTGCAAAATGTGTTAGTGCTAACAACGCCTATGACAACAGGCTCTATGTGCTTATGCCAATTATGGTAACATTTGTCATATTTTCCTGTTTAATTTTTTTCTGCGTGCTATGGCTGTTGTTTCTGTGGGCCCCTCAACAGAGGGGAAGCAGACTTAGCTGCCTTTACAAAGGGAACACTGAACCTGATTCTCCCCTGTGTGTCCAATGTACGACTAATTCATGGACAAACTGAGATTTTTTTTTTTTCTTTTCACCATTCAGCCTTGGTGATCCTTAGTAAGATTTTTGCAAACCTGTCTTACAATTTTCAGGCATAAATAAGGGATTAACCTCTCCTAAAAAGGAAGGACAGTAATGGTTGGAAGAGTTACTGAAAATGATTTTCATTTTGTGGCATTTCCACTTACAAAGATGTCTTTGGGGTAGCGTTAACATAGGCAGTGGTGTGTATACATAGAAGTTTTAAGAATTCGTGGGAGCTTGAGATTTAGAATATTCTGTGATACCTTTTGTTTACGATTTCTTCTTTTTCTTCTCCCTCTCTGCCTGTCTTTTCTTATGCAGGAAATAAAGAAGGACATGAAGAAAGAAAATACTGCCAACAAACCACCAGAGAAGCCTGTAAATGAAGTTTCCAATGGAAGCCCTTTACTGTTGTCTGAGACAATTATTAGAACCAACAAAAAAGGTATAGTATATAGAAGCTTAAACACAGATTAAATTCAGACCTTTAAAAAAATGAAATGTAAACTTTCATTGTTTCTGGAACTAAAGCTAGAGTGTATTTAACTGTAAAGGCGTAGCAGGAATATATGTCTGAAAAAAGTCTTACTCTCTTCTTAGACCAGCATGCAAGTGCCTATATTATGTCTAATATTTTCCCTTTAATTTGCACAAGCATCTCTTTCTTGTTAAAGAGGTCCTTGCTGGATATATTTAATTAAGGAGATATATGTATGCAGATTATTAAAGGCTTATCAAAGCGAAGAACTGACAGCTTGCATATATGGAGCTTTCTGCACAGTGATGGCAGTAGACATTCAGTCTTCGTTCACGTACTCGTGTTCTGTCCCAGACAGAAGCTGGTTACTGGCAACGAACAACAACAAAAAAGGTGGAAAACATAATGCTTATGGTATTAGTTTCTTCAGAAACGGGTAGCATCGTATCATATTTCAGATTGGACAGTGTGGTGTTCATGTCTGGCTTGACTCCCATGGCAGATTCCTATGTATGGCTTTGAGCTGCTAAAATGGACGCCTCTAAATCTTCTGTCTCCTTTCCTACCTTCCATACTCGCTCTCAGAAATATCAAAACAAAACAGAAAGATCTTTCGATAACAGATAATGAGCCAGATTTTCTTTAGGGTATGTTTGTATGACTTTATTTGTAAGTGATGGGCTGTATTTTTCCTGGAGAATTCACTGGACAGTTTCTTGCTTGCTGTCTTTTTACAAAGTAATCTGCTGTCATTAATCAGGACTGTAATGTAGTTTCCATTTTGATGCATCTTCTTTGTTAAGGCTATGCATATGGAAATTTCCTCTTAAATATTACGGGTGAACATTGCATTTGAGCTAACAGTTTGACTGAGGTCTTAGACCTAAGGTTTGCAATTGCAAGTTAGGAAGATTTAATAATTTCTGAAGAATGTAAGACTCGCTTTTAAAATGCGGGAGGAGTAATCTCCAAGTCTCTTGCTAGGAATTCTCTAAAACAAAAATTGGAAATAGATCCCAGACAGCCTTGTCTTTTGAGTCTGCAGTGTCGTGTCATCCTGAATCTGGAGACGTGTCCAACATTTCTGCTTTGGGTCATAGGTTTTTCAAGCAATGGCAGAATTAAATTACCAAGAATAATTCTTTTTCATGGCTGCTATGCAGAACCATATGAGTGGTTGTGAAATTATCTAGGGATCAAGTCTATTCCATATTGCTTCAGCTGCTATTTGGAGAAGACTAATAGCTGTGGCAGATGCAGAGATTCGGTTCGTTCACAAGGGAATAACACTCCAAAAATGATATGTACAGCAGAGGCTTTCTCCTCTTCTTTCTTCCCCATATCTCAGAGGCTTTGAAGGATTGAGAAGATAAAGGAAATTCCCTTTTTCTCTCTGTAGCTTGAAAAGATGAAGCTCCGTATTTATTGAAAGAAAAGCAAGCCAAGACTGATATGAAGATTTGTAGCTTGAGAAAGGGATCAGGCTTGGGGATAGCAAATTGCATATTAGGATGTTGCTGCGTTGGATTTCATTGGTGGGGGCTGCACTTCTCATGGTTACCTCTGTAGTGTCAGGATTGGTAAATCTTTCAGTTTGGCCACTTCTTCGTGGCTATGTCTGTTGCTGCAGAGCGAGCGTTTGCACCCTGCCTGCCTTACTCTGCAACAGTAGCTGAGGATGCACAGAGCGCAGCAAGGCCGCAAGAACTGTGGTGCTGAGAACTTTCCCCTCTTTCTCTCTGGGGTTGGTTTGAGCACGGTGCCAGAACGGCTTTCTTTAAGTAAGGACAGCGAAGCCTGTAACTACTGCTGTGCTCAGGAATAAAGAGTCTGCTAAGAGCTACATGGGAAGGGAGAGGACCAATCACCTCGTGGAGAGAGAACTGCAGTATTTTACTGAAGAGTGAACCCTAAATGCCCCGGGGATTCTTTTCCTCGAGTGCCCTTGTGCTGGAATTTGTTGTTAAAACCTATCTCAAGCTGTTTAGTGATGGGCGAATGCAGCCTGACCTGGAAGAGAGTATTCTTTCTTTCGTGTTAGGAAATGAAGTTGAGGGGGATGCATTCTAAAGGTCTTCAGGTGCTGTTCAGCAATAGAAATAGTAATCTGGGTTGGTAAAAACTTTTTTTTTAAAAAACAAAAAAGCGATTTATTTTCTTGAGCAGTGTAATTTTGGTGTTTGGAACTTTAGAGCAGATAGAGTGACCTGGAAGTAAGTATTCTGTGCTAATACACAGGGAAGGTTTCTCCTTCCGAGATGGTAGATTTCTGCTACCAAGATGATATTAAGTACCTTTTTGCCGCTATGGTGTTACATTGCGTAGTGTGCTACGTTAACTTGGTGGGCTTAATACAAGTGGCAGTAGCCTGCAGCCATTTAAATTTTGAGTAGAAGAATCTTGCACTCTTGGGCTTTTGGCTTTTGAAGAGTTATATTTGATACCTGTTTTTCCTTGAGGACTATCACTGAATGTCCAGCAGTGGTATTCAAGGAAAATGGCTAAATTATTTGTAGGAAACATCTCACTAGCTAAGAGGAAAAGAATGAATTTCTTAATAAAAAGGGTGTTGTGGATCCAACTTTATATCATGTTTCTTCATCCTAATTATTTCTGAATGATATGTTAAAATTAAGAGATCTTATAATAAAACCACTGTAAGACTGAAATGCATCATGTAAAAGTTTGTTTCATCAAATAAGTGCCACAGTAGTAGCCTACCAGTATTAGTATTTCTTTCATGTACTTACTGAGGGTGACTTGATTTCAGTAGTATTAGTTGTAGATTATCATCCATGAATCGCTCAGTTTCTGCCGTAGAGACCACGAAAAACAGAAGGGTAGGGTTTTGCCTGCTTTTCACTGAGGACAGTAAAACAAGAGTATCTCTGATCCTTTAATTTTTCTTGCTGACCGTTACATATGTGTTTTGCTTGGGCTACTAGTATAATGGAGGAGATTGCTGCGGTGGACATAATTCAGAAAATTGTGTTATGCTTGGCCTTCACATGTTTGTGAGAGTTAATATTTTCAGGGATTTCTTCTCTTCTGCAGCTTTGCAAATACGAGCTGCACAGAGGAAATAATGGACTTTGTTTCCTAGGTCTGCCGCAGAGTTGCTGTGTAACTTTGGTTAAATTACTTAAACTCTGGCCAAATTAGCACATTTTAGTTTGCAAGTGCAGGTATCTTAATGCATATTTATATTTCAGAAGTGCAGAGTTTTTTCTGATTTTCTGCAGTGGCATATCCAAAATTATTCACAACTTCCAAAAATTTCAGATATTTCTGACTCAGGCTGCCTATCAGCAAAACCTGAGTTAAACCCACCTCAAAGATGTTGAGATCTGCTGTGATCATATGTGGTAGCGATGGCAATTAACATGTAGAAATTGGAACATTTTTATATAGTGTTCCGGTGAGTTCATACTACACCTCCAAGAGGCTCAAGAAAGAACTGTTTCCTCAAGCACAGAGATGAGGTCAGGAAACCATTGTTTTCCTTGTGCTTTCCTTGACATTCCCAGGGCAGCAGCATCTCCAGGCTAATTTTGACCGGTACTTCAGGTGTAGGTAGCATTGTCAACCCCTGTCTAAGCAAAAAGGCCAAAGTGCTGAATGAAATCTCTGAAATCGTATGAATGCCAGTGGTAGTTGTCTTGCATGGGCTGCACCAGAACTTGAGAGGAATCGTTGTTTTGTTACCTCCTACAGTTCGTATGTCAAATGACCAAATATGTCATTTGGCCAAAACATAGGTCGTTTAGTACATCTTTTTCCTACTCCATAATTTTAACCTGGCATATAGAACTATTGTTTTTAATTTTGTGCAAATCTGTTTAAAAAACAACAACAATAACAACAAACCCCTTGGTTCTGATTAGAATTGGCGTTGTTGAACCCCATTAGTAGCAGGTTGGGAAAGGCTTTTTTTCCTCCGAGAGCATTTTAAGAGGGGTTAAAAAGTCAAATTGTTGTTGCTATTATTATTTAACATCATAAGAAAATTTCAGTCTGGTCTTAGAGCAGGAAAACATTGAAAGGTATCAATTTTTTTAAATACTTTTCCAACATGGTGAAATTCCATCTCTTCCAGGTCAACTTTTGAAATCTAAAAACAGATCCAAACTTCTGTAACTATTCCAATAATTGTTTATTGGCTACGGCTTATTTTATGATTGTTTTGTTCTGATTTTTAAGTATTCTGTGTGCCTTCATTGTGCTATTTTGTGTATCGGGGAACAGGAGCCCACTTGCGTAGACTAAATTGCAGGGTTGGAGTTAATAAGCTACGTGTTGTAAGTAAACTAACAGCGATTGTTATACAAGTGAAAATATTTAATGAAAAAATACATTTCCTTGCCAGAAGTATTTGTTATATATAAACTGTAAACGCAGTCCACACTGAGGTTGTTCAAGCCAGAAAATCTGGAACAACTCATCACGTTTTACATGCTCTTAATCAGAGCCAAACACTGAAAGCAGGGAAATGTTTTTTCTAGTTCTCTTGAGAATTATTTATTTTACCCGGCATTTAAATAATAAAGAGAAGTTGCATCCTTTCCTAAAAGGTGAAATTTTGTAAAAGTAGATTGACAGTGTAATAGGTTTATGTTACGGATAAAATAACAAGGGTCTGTTGTATGCAAAAACTGAGATTTAAGTCTATTTTTGTAAGTTAGAGAAATGGGAAAAGCATTTTGCAAGTAAAATACTTCATCATCTCATTCAATATTTGTTTGGTTTTAAATTATTTGGATACAAAAAGACACTCCATTTATTAAAAAGACAAGCTGATGGAGACTCGGCTGTGTAAGTTTTGTATTTTTTTTAAGTGTGTGTATAATCTAAGATGCTGGTCACCTTTTTCAACACAAAGGCAAACCTCAAGATTTCTTTCATAAAATTGTTCAGTACTAAACCTAGTGCAAAAAAATGCCTTTGTCATGTGCCAGTCAGGTGTTTGA